CGGAAAGAATATGCATCCATAAATGTGCGTGTGCGGGGGGAGCTTTACCGAATTCTGCGCTCAAGGCAACCTCAATCTTGAGTGTTGTCCGACCCTGCAGGGGTCCCATTCCGCCAGCACCATCAGGGTGCATGTATCCATGTGACCTACTCACGAACCAGCGGGCAGGCATCCCCATGCAATCTTCGATCTCCGAGCACATTCTCGGCGGAACTCTACAAGCTTCTCAAATTCGCTCGCTGACGTTGCATTTACAAGTGCGTAGAATGTTTATCAGATTGTCAATTGCGTAGGCGCACAATCGGACCCATAGCAGAAGCCAGGTACCTTGTTGGTTGCATGCTGGCGCTGGATGAGTAGTCGGGCTTCACGGTCCATAGCGAGAGTGTGGAAAAAGGAGAGAGAGCAAGAGACTTATCAAGCTTTCAGAACAATTCATGACGATTTCTTATCTAATCCCTACCATCTTGATGGATCCGCAAGACCAATGTTTGAGCAGACGTAGTGGAGCTGTTGCACAAGACTAGTCCCAATACCTTAGGCTGATAAAGAACATGGGCTACGTGAAGTGTGCACCAAATGGAACTCGCGATCTACCGCGCCCGTTTTCATGTTTCCTTAGCTTGACCTGTGCTTTATCTTCGAACATGGTTCTCCTGCAACTAGGTCAGTGTCTATGCATTGAACTTAGGAGCCATTCGTTCATTTAGAATGGAATTTGTGAGCTAACTTCGGGGCTATAATACGACTCGATCCCATTGTGAAACGTTTCATTGACATATACTGCACCCTCTTCTCTTTGGCGTCCTTGAAAACGACCTCTAGATTCGTAATAAGAACACCTCAGATTTTACCATGGGCGTTATCGATACAACCTAGTCTTCGACATTAAGTTATTCGTGTTGTGTTGCTACTTTCATGTCGCTAGGCTCAATATTGGGAGAGGAGATGTAGAATAATTCGATGATATAGAATGGCTCAATACTTGGATTATACATCATTCACCTAGCAAGAGATGGATTGCTTAGAATAGTCTTGGTTTCCCTACAGACGAAGTGAAAGGCTGAAAAATAAAGCAACATCGATGACAATGAGCGTTTTTCGAGTCAAGTCTTCTAGAAACCCTTTAAAAAAAAAATTGATGTCTAAGATAAACACCTCAGAAACACCGGTCAATACCTAAATACCTTTGATCTCCTGCGTGATAGTACGCGTCTCTTTGGGCACCCAACATGCTGGCATAAGTCAGAGATGTCGTGGGATAAAGATGGTTGGTAGACCATAGTTCGACGATATACTCCTTTTGGTATCCTGTCCTCTTCCCATATACTCTCCATCATCACCCACCCGAAATCTGACTGTCTGAGGGTGCGCGTGGGTGGTAATAGTTTTATGCAAAAGCTTCCAATGAGAGTAACAAGCTCTAGTTCGGGTTTTAATACACACTGGCAGGCGTGAAAGTATTAAATTGGAGTATAACTATTCTTCAATGTCAACGTCATTGATCGTAAATTGAACGCACGAGTTGGCGACTGGCGAAGCAGGACTGCGGCGATAACACATCAAACATCAAGTTATGCGGGGAGGAGGAATTGAAGACCAAAGCAAGCACCAACAAGATATTGTTACGAGTGAGGTCGTACAGCACGCCATGTTCCAAATCTTTCCAGCTTTTCCTGCCTTATTTCCAGTCTCTAACGAGCGTTGACGAGACACCCTCGAGATATGGTCTGGAGTGCCGCTTTACAGATTCGCCGAAGATGGACGCAGGAGTTGTCTGTCCTCTGATTAGTCCCCATGGATATCTACGGGTGCGTCATGATGACATCTAAGGAATATCAACAGCTGAATGTGTTGTCACATTAATACACAGTGAATGTCATCTGTGGAAGACGAGACGTCTTGTAGATGAAATCAAAGTGAGAGATATCGCTGGTCTCACGGGAAGAAACGCCAGGGCTACACAACGTAAAGTTTTACTCTGACTACCAGGTCGACATCGACCAATGCAAAAGGTATGAGGTCTCGCGTGCCACTTCACATTTGAATGTTTGCAAGTTGGTCACCTCGAATCGGGCACTCTTATGCGGAATAATTTAGCCATCAAAATAGAACGGCTTCTGGAAATCCGGCACAGTTGCCTTAGCTGAGCGCTTGCTACTTCATGGATAGACGAATAAAATAACGCTAAGGTAGGTGGAAATTCTACAACTTACCTCAGCTAGGTGAGCCACCTTGATGATGCAAGTTGCTATTGGCTTGTCTCGGCCACCGACTTCCTTGACAGCCACAACTCCGAGTTCGGGTTCGAGATTCCGCTTCGTAGACATGCTAGATCTTGTGGACGGGACAGCAATTGTCTGTAACCTTAGGTCACTCAGGTCAACACAGCGATGGACAAGGTGCGTGGCGGAGTCATAATATTTCGGGAGGCCGACATAAAGTACGGACAGAAAATCAAGTAATCGCCTGTAAAGACCGCCATTAAGACAGTAATTAAACACGGAAGTTGCTCTTGGACGCAAGACTGGGTAATGCAAACCTCAGGATAATGTCTTCCGCCGTGTGGAAAAAGCTCTCACCGTGGTTAGTATCGAGGTACTGTGATAGCATATTGAGCCCAGGAAGCTTTGTTGAAGAACTCACAAAAGGTTTGAAAATACTCTAATCAAACAAGATCCAAGAGCTATCAGGAAGCCACTTCCACGCGGGCCGTGCCACGTTTCGAACTTTCGGAGTACTTCTGCAGAGGAATATTGAAGGCACAAAACTTAGCGACAAAGAACTAGACAGGCAACTGATGCAATTGTGGTTCTCTGAATCATGAGGCTATCTGACAGTATCACAACACCAAGTAATAGACTGTGGTGCTCCCCAATTGGCGGCGTTCATATTCAAGGCGCAACATGTACTCAAGGTATGTGACACAATACCGAAGTCTGAGACGAGGAAGAACGAGCCCCACTTGTGGCCGCGGCCCGGGCAACTCGAAACGGTCAAGAGCCAAATTTTACCCAGCAGCGTCTATATGAGCCCGTCGAACTGGAAACAAACATAAAGCCACTATTTTAACTGTTTAGTAGCGTGCCTTCTTCCAGTAAACCCGAAACTCATCGACACAGCCTGAAGTCTTCTGAATTCTGCTTCTCCTGGTTGTGGTCACCTCCCCGTCCGGCACTCAGACGCGCACCCAACCCCTTTTATCATTCATCCATCAAGAACGATAAACTGAGAGCGATGTCGGAGGCCTCGAACGTTCGCCTCCTTTGTGAAGTTTTTCTCGTCTCACCGCTTCACGATAATCGCGGTTGGGCAGCCCCTCATCTCGCGTAACACAACATGACAGGAACATATGACTATTGTCGTGATTTGGCGCGCTCCCAACGGCAATGTGGAAAGCAAATTCCGCGTATGGTTTCCAGGGTTCAGTCAATTTCAAAAGTTTTCAGTCACGAGCTCACGGGGCGAAACTCAAAAGTAGCTTAGCTCTCCATGCCCGATCCCAGGGCTGTTTACCCCACCAAACCTCGTGGGTGGCAAACGACCCTGTGAAGCTCTGTGAAACTGCGAGCGGTCAGGTTGGAGAATTCAGGACGTGCAGAACCCTGCGTACCTCCCTCGAGTACTAGCTTCGACCAGCTAAACTGCCAGCTTGTGCATGGATCACTCGAAACAACAAGAGCTTCTGCTGAGTGCCTTGCATATGTTGGACGGAAACATTTCTTCCTTCTGGTATGACAAAGTGGGTCATCTAAAGTCTGCGCGAACCCCTTTGAACAATACAACGCTGAGACTCGAGCTTCAATCAAATCTTGATCACGGCCAAGCGACATGATTTCTGTGGCTGTGAGGCAAAATTTGATATGATGACCAAGGAATGAGAAGATGGCAGCCAAGCAGAGGAGGACTCCTGTTGACGAGAAAAGGGGTGCTTGTGAAAGCTATGGCCAACAACAACGTGTGGGTGCTGCACGTGGTTCTGGCCAAGCCGATCCAGGAGTCATGACTCAGGTACTCGGATACCGGGAAGGGGGTTGACGATCCAAAAGCTCCGCCATAGAGTCCAGACTTTGAAAAGACACACAAGGCCGTGCAAAAGGTGTTCCAAAAATTGAAATGGGTGGTTCTGAAAGCCGGTGAGTTGGTGACACTGGGCATGGAGTTTGCGGGAAGACCCTTGATGTGCCCCTGACGATGCTTGATATTTATGGTAACAGAATGCTCTGGCCGCGCTCTGGTTGGCTGTGTTCGGATGACAGTCTTGCAGGACAAATCGGGTCCTTCCGCGCGGGGGGTTCTCTTCGAGCCACACCAGTCTTATGCACCATGCCGGGATCGGGCTTAAGGGAGAGTCCAACGGCTCTAGCTGCGGCTCTTGGGCGCATCGACACTATTGTGTCATCTCAACTGATCTGTTGTCCATCACCACTTCACACGTCGCCAGCTCATCAGCCGACAACGCGTCAAAGAGAATTGGGAAAGCCAATGACGCCATTACACCAGTTTCAAGTGTGCACACAGCCAAGAACAGTGGCCGCACAGGGACGCACAGGGAGAACCCCTGACGAATGACGAAAGGCAGCTCCGATGTTATTAGGTAACAGAGTGCCGGAGCCCGGCCTCTGCCCTAATGAACCCGCGCCAAATATGGTGTGCTAGTACCAGCCAGGAAATTCGATCTGGTGTCATGTCCAGTTGTTTCGGCCCAAGTGGAGATATATGGATACGAGATGGCACTTCCGGTGAGAACCCTTTTTTCCAGAATTTCGCAGATGCCGGTGGCTCCGCGGGCTTCAACTTTGCCGCGTCACGAACCACCGGACCGGTTCGCTTATAAGAAAGAAGACGCTCCCCAGATTTTGCTCCCCCCCACGATCCACTCTGGCCTCCCACAGCAAACCTTTTGTGGCATTATTTAATATTTTGCTCTGCAACCTCTTTGTCAACGGCTCCATCCCGCTCCGCTGCCAAGCAGAAGAGTTGTGCTGACCGTCGATGCAATGGTCGAAAACTCACCCGCCTCTCAAGATGACGACCCCGGCCCCGAGCCCGGCGGCGCCATGTCTCCCGGGTTTGCATCCGGCAGCGCTTCCGGAAGCACAACTCCCGAGAATGCCGCAGTCACGCCCAACCCCGATCCGGCCGAACAATCGACTAGCAACGCCGAGGCCGCAGCTGCAGCCGCCCTGAAGAAGGAAAAAGGCCGTGTACGCTTCAATAGCAGAGCGGCCGTGACCCAGCCCCCAACTTCACCACCACCCAACGCAACTCTGCCCGTTCCCACTCCGGCAAACCCGCCGAGACCGTCCATCTTGCGAGGCAGTTCCGGAAGCTCTATTCCCACTGTTGCAACACTCGCCCAGGATAACCCGCGTCCCTCGGTTGATAGCGAGCGCCAGGAGGCCAAGTCTGCCGCTGCCGCTGCTCAGGAACGTGCACGCCAGGTTGCCGCGAACATCCAGCTCGGATCTCCTACCCGAGAGTCCCGAGTATCCGTTGAATCCGCCGGTACGACTACTGCAAGCGAGTATGAACCGCCCAGCAGAGAGGGAGCATACATCCCTCTTCAAGACCTCAACTCTGACCAACCCTTGACCGGAAAGGCCAAAGAAGAGGAAGAGAAGCATGAACACCAGGCTCAACTCAACTCGGAAGCTTACCGAATCGTCCGGGCCCACACTTGGCGTATTGCCGACAAGACTGAGAGCGAGGCCGGCCCGTCCAATGCTCAAGATGCTGAAAAGACAGAGCAAACCGACCACCTCCTCCCTGAAGTCAATGACGGCAACTATGACGGTGTTTACGTCGTCCCTCCGCCGAAGCAGTATCGCGGCAGCGTCTTGTCTCAGCTTCTCAAGCTGTACAAGCCTGCAGAGGGTCCTGTGCAGCCGCCCAACAACCGCAACTCTGTCGCCTCTTTCTCTAATTTCGGAGGACCTCTGTCAACCGGCACTCCGGGGTCCGAGTCCGGCACCACTACTCCCACCGGCACCGCAACTCCTAGCCGTAAGAAGTGGTACCAGGCCAACAGGTCCCAGGAGACCCTCGTCAACCTGATTGAAGCTTCTGCACGCCTCGCCAACCCCAACCAGCAGGGCGAGGGCCCAGGATCGCCAAAGGATAGCAAGGCCGCAAAGAAGCAGCGTCCTAAACACAGGCGAACTACCAGCAACTCTCGCATCAGCGCTTACCTTGCGAGAGAAGAGGAGGAAGCCAAGATCACGGTCCACATTGCGGAGACCCTCGCCCGTCAGGAGTACATCATCACTCTCTGCCGCGCGTTGATGCTCTTTGGTGCTCCTACTCATCGTCTGGAAGAGTATCTCTCTACCACCGCTAAGGTCCTTGAGATTGATGGCCAATTCTTGTATCTGTAAGTCTCATTGCACTACACGAAACATTAAATGAGCATACGCTAACACCGTCAAGTCCTGGCTGCATGGTCATCAGCTTCGACGACAGATCCGTACACACGACTGAAGTTCGAATGGTTCGCGCAGCGCAGGGAATTGACCTCGGCAAACTTCGCGACACCCACCATGTCTACAAGGAAGTCATCCACGACGTTGTCTCGGTAAACGAGGGAATCGAACGCCTGGATGCTCTTATCAAGTCCAAGGACAAGTTCCACGTCTGGATCAGAGTCCTCGTCTTCGGCCTCACCAGTGTTACTGCGGCACCTTTCTCCTTCGGCGCCCGCCTTATTGATCTCCCTCTCGCATTCTGTTTCGGCTGCCTCGTCGGATTCCTCCAGCTCATCGTAGCTGCCCAATCCAAGCTCTACAGCAATGTTCTTGAGGTCACGGCAACCGTTCTGGTAAGTTTCTTGGCCCGAGCCTTCGGCAGCATTAGAGGCGGAAACCTCTTCTGCTTCTCGGCAATAGCCCAAGGAGGCATCGTCATGCTTTTACCAGGATACATGGTTTGTAAGTCATCTCTCTCCAAACTCTGTCACTCCCCCTTCCCCCTCGCCTCTTGTTGGTTGTATCCCCCTTGATTGGGGCTCTACTAGCCTACGGGCACCCATTAGGACATCTCGCGTGCCGCCGGTCAATTGGTGCCAGGCTTCCAAGCAACCTGGTGCCAGACTCGAGCGTGCCATCTCCAGCAAAAGCCAGCGCGGCTGCTATCGTAGCGCCGCGCCGCCGCAGGAAACTGAGGACAGCCGCTGATGGACCAGTGTGTTCCGCCCTCGAACTCCAATCCCGCGCCATCGTTCCCGGATCGATCCGAATCGTCTACGCCGTTATATACAGTCTCTTCCTCGGTTTCGGTATCACCATCGGCACTGCGATATACGGTCTCATAGACGAAAACGCCGTTTCGACGACCACCTGCGAGAACCAGATCCCCACCTACCTGACGTTCATCTTCGTCCCCCTGTTCGTTGTCTGCATTGCCATCCTTTACCAAGCCAAATGGCGACAAATGCCAGTCATGCTGGTCGTCGCTTTTGCAGGTAAGCATTCAACACTTGAACTATTTAATTGTACCATCGCGCATCTAACGTTGGGCCCAAGGTTACATGGTAAACTACTTCTCCGGTCTCAGATTCAGCGCAGCTCCCCAGGTTGCCAACACCCTTGGCGCTCTTACCGTCGGAGTCCTCGCCAACCTCTACTCACGTGTCCGCCATGGAGTCGCCGCCGCAACTCTCATCCCTGCCATCTTTACCCAGGTGCCAGGAGGTCTCGCATCCACCGGCGGTCTTCTGAGCGGTCTAACTACAGCCAACAAGATCACAAACTCGACGCACTCGGTCAACGGCACGAGCTCTGTCACGTACGACAGCACCGAGATGAACTCGGTTGTCTTCAACGTCGCCGCATCCATGATCCAGATCGCCATCGGCATCGCCGTTGGCCTGTTCCTCAGCTCTCTCATTATCTACCCGCTCGGCAAGCGTCGCAGTGGTCTGTTCAGCTTCTAATCGTAGGTAGCGTGCACTTGCCCAGCATTTGCAATCTTTCCTGTTTCACGTAGGGTTTTTATCCTGTTCATTTCCATGCAAAAGTCATGTCCATCATCCATCCAGATAGGATCTTCCCATGTAGTTCAGCACCCGGTAGGGATGGCTGACGCAGGCCCCGCCGGTCAGTCTCCCACGCCGCATCAATCGTCCATAGCCCTGCCATGGCAAGCAAGTCGGCAGGCGATCAAAAGCAACAGCCAATCACACATTGTAGTAGTATTTTTGTATGTAAGTTCCAAAAAATTGGGGAATTCAAGGAAGCGAGGGAGTTTGGGGCTAGGAAGAGGAGAAAAAAAGAGGGAAAAATCACTGCCGTTACTGGATCGGAATAGTATCATTTACTGAAAACATCAAATCTCCATTCATGTGACCAATCGAATTGAGACTCTTTGATGAAACAGGCATAAGCCGATGGAACGTTGTCCCAAAAAGGGCAACAATGACAAACCGGCGATCGCGCAATTAACTTATTCGCCGGGTCCTCAGGACTTTGGCGTGCATATGACCGAGTTCCATACTGGCGTTCGTGATCTCGGCAGTAACACAGGCGAGGTGCTCCGCATCCTTAATGTCGGATAGCTCCGTCCATTACTGTTTTGGGATGTATGCTAACACACCATGGCTACCAACCTATCTATTTGGGCTGTTCGGTTCCAAATCGCCCGAGATCGCTGGGCCAAGACTCGAATATACCACCGGAAGACTTTAGCTCAATAGAACGAACTCCTACAATGCGTTGGATTTATGTCTGCATGTTAAAGAAAGTTGCCCGTCTCATCGGTGATTTAGCTAAACACCTGCTATTTGGGCGATCGGTATAAACCCGAGTCTCATCATGGGCATCTCTTATATCTAGCCAATGGTCACAACATCTACATTGGAGTCTCGATTTCTTCACGCCTTGGTTCACCCACAAGTAACTCGCAATGTATGCAGCAACCGTTATGCACGTTCTTGCACTCGCTGCCGCCGTTACCGCAGCCCAGATCAGCATCGCATCCGTTACGATCAATGATCTTGTGAACCCGTTGGGTGTCGATAATGCAGCGCCTACCTTCGGCTGGAGCATCGGCAGTGTGGCGGCTCGTGGAGCGTCTGTCACGGCTGCACAAGTCCAGGTCTTGCCAGTTACCGGGACATCTCCCCTTTGGGACTCCGGCACTGTCGCAACAAACGCAACCCGTCTGGTTTACTCTGGACAGAGTCTGCCCTCGCGAACCAACTTCAGCTTTCAAGTCCGATTGCTGGATAACTCCGGAGGTTGGACAGAATGGTCCACAAGTACCTTTGCAACCGGTTTAGTCGCCGATGAAAACTGGGAGTCTGCGCAGTGGATAGGGGCCGCGAATCCATCTGTGGACCAGCCAATCCTACGCACCGACTTTGACGTCTCCCAGGAGATTGCCAGCGCAAAGCTATTCATCACTGCGATTGGCGGCTATGAGGCGTACCTCAACGGCCAGAGAGTCGGCGACCTGTATCTCGCACCTTCTTGGACACAGTACGCCAGGCGCTCCTTCTATGACACATACGATGTCACCAAGCAAATACTCGAGGGCCAGAACGCGATTGGCATCGCAGTAGGCCAAGTCTGGTCTACCCTTGGCTCTTGGGGCCCAGAGGCGAATCGTGGCGCTTGGGACGGGAACATGCGCACCAAGGCCCAGCTCTATATCACCTTCAAGGACAATACGACGGAAACAATTGTAACGGACAGCTCTTGGAGAGGAAAGCTTGGCGGCTCGACCCGCACTGTCGCCATTCCCAACAACGAGCTCTTTGATTCACGCATCGAGTCGCAAGCCTGGAAGCAGGCTGGCTTTAATGCTTCGACCTGGCCAAATGCTATCGTTCAAACACCGCCAAGTACCGAAATTCAGTCCTCTCCTGTAGAGCCCGTGCGAATCAAGGAAAGTATCAAGGCCGTATCCATCACCAACCCGGAGTCTGGGGTATGGGTGTAGGACTTTGGTCGAAACATCCCAGGAGTCGGGGCTTTGACCGTCAACGAGGCCTACAACGCCACAATCCGGATGCACTATGGGGAAAAGCTCAGATCGACGGGACGGATTCAGGATACGGGCGGCAACTGGCAACACAGCACATACATTCACGACGGAACGGGCTCCGTCACTTGGATCCCCCGACACTCGTACTACGGCTTCCGGTACATCGAGCTGACCGGCGTCGCGGGAACACCCAATGCCGGCACGGTTGTAGCTCAGCACCTGCGCAGCGATGTAAGAGGCATTGGGTGGTTCACTGCCTCTGACGAAACATTGACATGGATTCATGATACCACCTGGCAGTCCATGCTCAACAACATCGTTGGTGTTCCTACCGACGGCGCTTATCTCGAAAAGCTGCCATGGCTATCTGACGCGGCGGTCATGTCCGAAACAATACTCAGTTCTCTCAACGTCAAATCACTGTACTCCAAGTGGGCGCAAGACATCGCGGACTCGGCGCTTGCTGATGGAAACCTTCCACCTTGGGCTCCATCACCGTTGGAAATGGACCCCTTCCCGAGTCCCACCTGGGGTAACGCTTTTCCGGAGGTTATGTGGCAACTGTACCAACACTCCGGTGACGTCGATTTGCTCTCACGGTTCTACGAATCGATCAAGTCGTACTTGGCCTACGAACTCAACCATCGCAACAGCAGTGGCCTGATCGGGCTAGAGTCTTGGGGCGACTGGGTGACACCTTCCATCAATGACAAGGGCATTGTGGGAACAGCGCATCTGTATTGCAGCATCACGAGAGTCATTCAGATGGCTTCCATACTGGGATATAGTGCGGATATAGAGTCTTACACATCGCATGCCGCAGCCGTCAACTCATCATTCCATGCCGCGTATTACCAGCCTGCGACAGGAGACTACCGTAGTTCGTCTACAGGTGGGTTTGCTCAGACCAATAACTTGCTTCCGGTCGCCTTCAAGATGACAAGCTCCGCAAGGCGTCAAGCTGTCACTGACAAGGTGGCTGCAGATGTGGTTTCGAGGGACAACCATTTGGGAACCGGTATGGCAGGGACCAAGTGGCTGTCACCGCTGCCGACAGAATACGGATACATCGATCTGGCCTACAGTGTTGCAACACAGACTACATACCCTAGCTGGGGCTATTGGAAGAGTCTTGGAGCAACCAGCCTGTGGGAGGAATGGGCTGGCAGTTCGCGGTCCCAGAACCACCCGTTCCTTGGTACTGTGGTTGACTGGTTCTACCAACATCTTGCAGGTATCAAGATAACGACGGCAGGGCATAAGAGCTTTGAGATTGCGCCATTTGTCCCTGCCGAGTTGGCAAGCGCCCAGGGATCCATCCAAACACTTCTTGGGAAAGTGATCAGCTCATGGACAAACAGCACCGCCCAGTTCGCTCTTACCCTGTCGATACCCGCTGGATCAAGTGCCCTGGTCAGCCTACCAGTCTCTGATGGGAAATTGGTATATGAAAATGGCAAGGATGCGGTCGACTCCGAGGGAGTTGAGTTCGTTGAGAGTAGTAGCGGAAAGTCGTCATACAACGTGGCATCTGGAACGTACAATTTTGTCTTAAAATAGTCTTTCAATTGGACTCGTCATAACTCATATGCAAGAAGGTGCATGGACCTGCGGAAAACCTAAGTAAAAAGGGTTGACATAAGTTTTGAGGACCTTTCTGTATGGCAGTGCATCTCCGGAATGTTGCTGATTGTGGCGCGGGACAGCCCAAAGTTAAAGTACAGATGTGTCCACGTAGTGACTCACAGTCTCAGTATTTATTTCAAGCCATCATCCATCCGACTGCCGTTCGGCACACATCCTTCTCCTTACGCCCCAGATATCATTCGTCTCTAGAGCTCTCTCCAACGCACTCTTCATTATTAACCCAAAGTCAGAAAGCATGATTCAACATCCCGACAGTATGGCCGAATCCAAGTCAGCAAGACTTGGAACCAATCTCGATTTACAAGACATACCGACGTGTACAAAAAGACCAGCTGGACAAAAGCTGACGATACTCGACTTGCCGGTAGAAATCATCTTCAATATTGTTGATGAAATTTTCAATTTATACCCCGAAGATTTATGGCGTGGTTACGGCAAGCCCTGGACGCATTGGGTTGCTGAACTGGGCTATCTGGGTGTAAGGAACTGGCCCCATTTTGACGTCTGGAGAGATGTCATCCGTCTGATGTACACCTGCAAGACTCTCTACAATGCTATCTGGCCAGTCCTTTACCAGAAAGACGCTATATATAACGAATCCTCCGCCCTGATTCTGTCGGCAATGAAGGGTAACTCAGCTGGCGTTGCGAAGTCTCTTATGAAAGGAGGGGATGTATTCGCCGCATACCGAGAGTTTGATGACGAGGAATACTTTGCACATGATGATCCATGTATGTGTAGCGGGACTACCGAGCGAACTACTGTATGGCATCACGAGGTGTCCGCTGTTCACTGGGCGGCATTCAATAGAGATTTACAATCTCTTCGCTACATAGATGACAACGCTTTCATCGACTTCGGACAATCCACCGTCGATTCCTTCACGGCGGACAACAGGCTCATTTGCCAATCGCTCGATGCCGTCTTAAATCAGTTCGAACCAACCATCAATCAGCTCCAGGTACCAAGCTCTCAAGCATGGGATAGGTCTCGCATGATCAACTACTTAAAGTCGATCCTAAAGAAGGGTCCCAATGTTTTTTACTTCGCACTCATCAATGTCTCCGCCAAGTAGTACCAGGAGAACTGGGTTTCGACTTCTTCTAAAGACACTATTGAGATGCTGGTAGAAGCCCTACGCCTGGAGCACTGGATTTCAAATAATTTCAGAGGCACTTTTGACGTGCTGGTAGATCCAGACGTCTCCCTGATAACCCACCTCGGTACCAAGCTCCACGCGCTTCATCAAGCCTGTGGTGGAAGAGATGTCGATACTTCTAGGTTTATCCTAAATGAGACCAC